CTCTTTCACATATATCACAGCAAGATCTTTTTTGACCCACATCCTAGAGTAATGGAAATAAAAACAAAATAAACAAAGGGGACCTAACAAAACTTCAAAGCTTTTGCACAGCAAATGAAACCATAAATAAGACCAAAAGACAACCCTCAGAATGGGAGAAAATATTTGCAAACAAATCAATGGACAAACGATTAATCTCTACAATATATAAACAGCTCATGCAGCTCAATATTAAAAAAACAAACCCACTGAAAAAATGGGCAGAAGGGCTTCCGTGCTGGTGCAGTAATTAAGAATCCGCCTGCCAATGCAGGGCACATGGGTTCGAGCCCTGGTCCGGGAAGATCCCACATGCCACGGAGCAACTAAGCCTATGTGCCACACAACTACTGAACCCTGCGCGCCTAGAGCCCATGCTCCGCAACAAAAGAAGCCACCACAACGAGAAGTGCATGCACTGCAACAAAAAGTAGCCCCCCCTCGCCACAACCAGAAAAAGCCAGCACGCAGCAACAAAGACCCAATGCAGCCAAAAATAAATAAATTAAATTAAATTTATATATTAAAAAAAAAGGGCAGAAGACCTAAATAGACATTTCTCCAAAGAAGACATACAGATGGCCAAGAGACACATGAAAAGATGCTCAACATCACTAATTAACAGAGAAATGCAAATCAAAACTACAATGAAGTATCACCTCACACTGGTCAGAATGAATGGGCATCATCAGAAAATCTACAAACAACAAATGCTGGAGAGGGTGTGGAGAAAAGGGAACACGCTTGCACTGCTGGTGGGAATGTAAATTGATACAGCCACTATGGAGAATAGTATGGAGGTTCCTTAAAAAACTAAAAATGGAACTACCATACGAGCCAGCAATCCCACTACTGGGCATATACCCTGAGAAAACCATAATTCAAAAAGAGACATGTACCACAATGTTCACTGCAGCACTATTTACAATAGCCAGGACATGGAAGCAACCTAAGTGTCCATCAACAAATGAATGGATAAAAAAGATGTGGCACATATATACAATGGAATATTACTCAGCCATTAAAAGAAACAAAACTGAGTTATTTGTAGTGAGGTGGATGGACCTAGAGTCTGTCATACGCAGTGAAGTCAGAAAAAGAAAAATAAATACCGTATGCTAACACATACATATGGAATCTTAAAAAAAAATGGTTCTGAAGAACCTAGGGGCAGGACAGAAATAAAGACACAGACATAGAGAATGAACTTGAGGACACAGGGAGGGGTAAGGGTAAGCTGGGATGAAGTGAGAGAGTGGCATTGACATATATACACTACCAAATGTAAGATACCTAGTGGGAAGCAGCCACATAGCACAGGGAGATCAGCTCGGTGCTTTGTGACCACCTATAGGGGTGGGATAGCGAGGGTGGGAGGGAGACGCAAGAGGGAGGGGATATGGGGATATATGTATACTTATAGCTGATTCACTTTGTTATATAGCAGAAACTAACACAACATTATAAAGCAGTTATACTCCGATAAAGATGTTAAAAAATAAACAAATTTTAAAATAAATAAATAACCTGTGGTACTTCGAAAATGAAAAGACACATGCACCCCAAAGTTCACTGCAGCACTATTTACAACAGCCAGGTCATGGAAGCAACCTAAATGCCCACCGACAGATGAATGGATAAAGAAGTTGTGGTACATATATACAATGGAATACTAGCCATAAAAAGGAACAAAATTGGGTCATTTGTAGAGATGTGGATGGACCTAGAAACTGTCATACGGAGTGAAGTAAGTCAGAAAGAGAAAAACAAATATTGTATATTAACGCATATCTGTGGAATCTAGAAAAATGGTACAGATGAACCGTTTTGCAAGGCAGAAATTGAGACACAGATGTAGAGAGCAAACGTATGGACACTAAGGGGGGAAAGCGGACACCAAGGGGGGAAAGCAGGGGCGGGGTGGTGGTGGGATGAATTGGGAGATTGGGATTGACACATACACAGTGATGTGTATAAAACAGATAATAAGAACCTGCTGTATAAATAATAAATAAATAAAATAAAATTCAGAAAAATAAAAACAGAAAGTTAACTGGGCATCCTATACTGTATCTGGTAACCCTACATGAAGCACATACATAGACACAAATATGACACCTTCTTATCTTCAGAAGACTTACTAAGAGTAAGGGAAATAGGGCTTCCCTGGTGGCGCAGTGGTTGAGAGTCCGCCTGCCAATGCAGGGGACACGGGTTCGTGCCCCAGTCTGGGAAGATCCCACATGCCGCACAACGGCTGGGCCCATGAGTCATGGCCGCTGAGCCTGCGCTCCGCCACGGGAGGGGCCACAACAGTGAGAGGCCCGCATACCGCAAAAAAAAAAGAGTAAGGGAAATAAATGTGTACATATAAACACAAACTACTATACAGGAAAGGAAAGTAGTTATGTAGCATTTAAAAAAAGGAGCAAGGGGCAAAAAAAGCAAACTGGGAACACAGTAAGAGGGGCTGGGGAATGGTTAGAATCAATAAGCACTCACAAGATTCAAAGGAGAATAAAGAGTAAGACAGGACACTGCTTAGTTAAATCCTCAATTGTAGCCACACATACTTGTGTATTCACCAACCACACTATTCCATTATACAAGGTGGCTCAGTAACACAGGTTTTTAAGTTATTTGCCATCTATCACACAAATCAATTTACATTTAAATTACTTCAAAAAAACATGCATTAACAACCTCTCAATAGAAAGATGTACAAAAATGCCAAACTCCTAATTTTCTGACCTATCTCCCTCTCAAATCTAGTTATAGTTTTGTGCTTATTGTACCCAATATTATCTTACTAAATTCTACCCAATGTGGATGGGGCCAGTAAGACGAAAATCTTCACAGTATGTCAACCTTTTTCTCACTTTCTATTGTCCAAGCAACTGTTTCCTATCTCTGCCTCTTAAATAAACAGCTTTGTACTTTGTACATTTCAAATAGATCAGTGAGCAGATCATTTTTAACTAGATGCAAAAACTACTGCTTCTTTACTTCTTTACTTCCTGCTCCAACCCTCTTCAGGTGTCCCCTTCTTCCTGCAGGCCCAGTTACCATTCTTCATGACACAGGCCAACCCTGATTCTATTCCATGATAGGAAAATTCACACAACTAAACTCAAAATTTAAATAACACACTGTGTTGCAGGACATATGCATAAAAAAGGTGTAGTAATGGAATTTATATCATTCTTTCTCATTAACTCATCATATACCTTCATACAATCTTACAGATGAAAGGATTTCAGAGCTCACAGTCCATATCCCCCTCATTTTTATAGATGCTGAACATCTTGTCCTATGTGTGACTACTCTAAATTAACAGGGCAAGCAAAGAACCACTCAGATTTTTTGATTTTCAGTTTAGTATTTTTCCTGCTAAATTATACTTCTACCTACTCGTACTACATCTTTTGACTGGTAGCTGATATATACCATGAATTTTAATTCTATTGCATATTTTTACTTCTTTTTGAAAATATAAAGGAATCTAAAAATTATGGTTACTCAAACTGCAATTTAAATTATTCATTAATCCTTCATAACAAAGTAACCTAAAAGTCAGCTTAACTAAAAAACAAGAAAGCAGATCATCTTTATAGTAGTCTGTATTTTTAACTGCAAAAGAAAGTGTGAGAGAAGTATTTGTATATCACAACAGACCGAAATGACAAGTTCAAGACATGAGACACTGTCAGTATCAAATCTTAAAAAAATGCTGATCACTGTATCTTTTATGAAAACCTCTTTACTGAGAAGTATTATACCTATCTTAATAAGCATATAAACACTTTTGAGGTTAGATTTTTACAATCCATCTTCCTAGAATTTGGGAAGGTGGAAAGCTATTCAAAAATTATTGTGTGTATTTAATTTAAAGATATGTGGCTGGAAGGATCTATAAGCTCACAATCACAGATTACCACTGTCAACCCTTTTCAATTATCTTACCTTTGTTGAAAGTACTTTAAATGTGCTCTGTTCTGGTATTATAGGATGAAGAAGTCTCAGCTTCAAATTATAATCCTCTCCAGAAGGAATTTTCACCAATGCGGACAACTAATGATCACAAAATTAGTAGCACATTTTATAAATTTATTTAAAGGGTAAAGTACTTAAACTGACTACAATTACAGAACTTCAGTACTGCTGCAGATTATTTTCAAAACTTTCTATGGAATATCAGCCTTAAGAATCTCAAAATAATCTTTTAAAAATCTGGTATCCTTCGCATGAATTCTCATATACATAATTAAGTAGCAGAACAGAGTATGTTTCATAACACATAATGAACATTTAAATCTCAAGGAAACTCAATCTACAAGAACAAAATAATACAGTACATAACAAAGAAATATTCACATGCAAAACACCTAGTTCTACCATGAACTCTCTTAAATATCTATCACAAGGTTTTCTACTAAATGCTAAGAAACCCAGTTATTGAAAGTTATACTCATTTAATATGGTTAGTAAATTCTAAGATATATAAGTCACAAAAATTAAGTGGATCTTTTTCATGAAGTATACCACACATATGTGTAACCAAAGCACGTATCTTACTAATGTCTTTTATATTTGTCAACCAAATTCTGCTTTGAATTCCAAATCTAAAGAAGAGAAAACAATGCACACCTAGCTATAACCTACAGTATACATACTCGTCTCAAAACTTAAAATGATTCAAATGGAAAAGCAATGCTTCAGATTTTCATCAGCATTTTCCACATTATCTCAGGAAGAAATGATATATATCTAATAGACTGCTATAGATTATTCTGCAATATATATTTATATTTATAAATAAACATATTTAACCTCAACCAAAAATAATTCAAAAACTATAATAACCTCTTTTTCTGAAAATTCCACATTTACATCATTCTTCTGAACATTCTTGATCATAAGTGTAATGATTACTTGAGATTCTGTTTGATACCAGTCATACCTATAAAAAAGAAAAAGGAAACTTAAAACAGAACTTAAATTTTCTTAAAGTTGTTGCTTGTTTTGTCAAGATAAAAACTGTATATAATCTGATGAACAACAAGAGCTCCACCTTGAGGAACAAAATAGCAAAGCAGCTGTTGATTCACAAACAATTCTATGTAACTAATTTCATATGACCTGTACTAACGGAAAAGTAAGGTCGATGATGTCCAAAACCCCTCCAGTGGATTTAATAAATACTTACATAATTTTCTAGGTTCTAACGTATCTCTAATACTGCTGTGCTTAAGCTAATTGGTTTTTTTTGGCCACACCACACAGCATGAGGCCACATGCACAGCTAGTTTTTAAAGATAAAATTTATTCTAACAGGTAACAATTCTAATACACCATCAACAGTTTTATCCTCTCATTTCAACCTAACACTAATAAGTAAACACTTCCATCCCTATTTTACAAATGAAAAAAAAAAAGTAAGCTCAGAAGGGTGAGGCAACTGGCACATCAGTAGCAGGTGTTACACTGGACCCAGGTCAACCTGACCCCGCATTCCAGGATCTCTTTACTGAAGCTGAGGGCAAACAGCCCTGAGCACAGGGAACAGAAGCAAATGAGCTAAAATTAAAATAATTTAACTCATTCTGCCAGGCACAATATTAAATATAGTACCTTCCTTCAATCTCAAAGTATGTGGAAAGATTAGTGTGCCTAGAGATTCTAATTATGTGTATCTTTCCCACTGAAAGCTCTAAAAATATATCATCACTTTCAAATTAGACTGGATTATAAACTCCATGAGAGCAGAGCTATTTATCTACCCTGCCACTATGACATTCCCAGGACTAAGCACAGTACCCTGATACATGGTATATTTATTACATCAGTGTGGGATTATTTTATACTCCAAACGCTCCAATTATTAAGTTTATGTACCCTACCCCTGCTCCTGTCACTAAAGTTCCTTGTTTACTAGGTACTTGGAGAATCATCCTGTATCTCCCCAGAAAGAACATGAGTAAATTGTTTTAACATTTTCAAGCCATTTTACATCAAAAGCACTGGATCTTTAAAAGTCTCACAGTTTTCCTTTGAAATTCAGTCAGGATGCAAAGCTCGAGATTAATGCCTTGTGTTTCTTTCTGTTACACTAAGAATACAAGCTGTACACACAGCTAATGAACAACTAAAAATAACTCAAATCCTTGCTAAATACTTATTCATGATTGTAACTGCTGCCCTCAGCAAGTGACTTTCAACTCATGCAGAATTATTCTATGAAAAATTTACTCCAAATATAAAAGGCAGGTAGAGTTACAATTCTATCAAGTCTACTAACTTATTTACCTAAGTAATAGCAATAACTTAAATGGAAGAGGCTCTCTTTAATACATGGAAAGGTGACACAATGTGGAATCAGGTGAAGTAAGTTTTAATTGGCAATTGATTTGATTTTAACCTTAATATAAACACTAATTCAAATCAGTTAACAGTCTTACAATTAGCTTTTCAAGGCTTTAATATGATTTCTTTTATAAACTAAGAAATACTTAAATCACAGGTAAGGACTTGCTTACTATTAAACAACAGGGTTTTTTCCCTTTAGGCATATTTATCACGCATTATGAAAAACAAACACTTACTTGATTTTTGACTGATAAGTCCTCTGGGATGCAGACTGATTTTGACAAGTTGAAAGAGAAAGATTTTTACAAGTTAGTTTAGTAACTGCGTATTAAAAATGCATGTATTATTAATTTACCCAGTGTTACAGTTACTTTGATATGGAATAACTACATGAAAACTTCTTACAGAGCACGGTATCCATAATTGTTAAATAATACTCATCTTCACAGGAATTAGAATACTCAGTTGTTGTTTTTTTAATTTTTTTAACATCTTTATTGGAGTATAATTGCTTTACAATGATGTTAGTTTCTGCTTTATAACAAAGTGAATCAGTTATACATTATGTCCCCATATCTCTTCCCTCTTGCGTCTCCCTCCCTCCCACCCTCCCTATCCCAGCACTCTAGGTGGTCACAAAGCACGGAGCTGATCTCCCTGTTACTCAGCATTTTTAAAATTTTATGAGTTTCAATTTCAAAAAAAAACGTTTTTCTTCTAAAATAAAAGATGGATAAAAAACAGAAAAATTTCTGAAGATATGTTTGGAAAAGGTTACATATAAAATGTCCAGTTCCAAGATTCAGTAACTCTCTAAGCTGAAAATAACAATAACATTTAAAAGAACATTTTTAAGACTATAGTATAACCTTCAGGCTTAACAATGGCATCAAATTGCTCTGGAAAAACAAATGAAGCACTATTTCCAGGGTGCCTTCCTGATATTGTCTTACACCATTTATGGCTGGCCTCTCTGCAACGAACATTCTACACTGACCACTGAAAAACAAAGTGACTCTTAACCAATCCAAACTTTTCTAAACTACATGTGCCAGTTCAGACTGTAAATCTAAAGAACTTGTCCTGGGTCAATGGTGGCCTCCAAGTTGTCCCTAAATAAGAAGGGAAGAGACGGCGTTTGGAGGAAGAAAATTAGTAAAACTGCCCTAGAGAGATATGTAACTGACAGAAAGCTCATTCCGATTCCAGCCTCAAATATATTTAGTAATAATATAATTAAGTAAAAACATAAAGGATAGGGGCTTCGCTGGTGGCACAGTGGTTAAGAATCCGCCTGCAAATGCAGGGGACACGGGTTCGTGCCCCGGTCCGGGAAGATCCCACATGCCGCGGAGTGGCTAGGCCCGTGAGCCACAACTACCGAGCCTACGCGTCTGGAGCCTGTGCTCCGCAATGGGAGAGGCCGCGACAGTGAGAGGCCTGCGCACCACGATGAAGTGGCCCCTGCTCGCCGCAACTGGAGAAAGCCCTCGCACAGAAACGAAGACCCAACGCAGCCAAAAATAAATAAATAAAAATTAAAAAAAAAACCCACACACACAAAGGATCAAACCTTTGGACTTACCACCTCAGGCTGTGATCCTATTAAAAACATAAAAAGGAAACATTTTCAGGTAACAGTACATGTATAGGCAAAATTACATACATGATTTCTATGGCACAAACATACTGATTAAGCAAACCAATTCTCCATGCATACCTAATAAGGGAAAGGGGTTTAACTGCATCTTGGAGTCACTTGAGACTCCTCAGTAATTTCTTACCAGTAATACCACTGCAAAACAAATCCATCCAAATTTCCCTTTCAACATAACGAATGAGGTAAAAAAATAATACCTTGGGAAAGCCCAACCTAAGAGAACATCCACTACTTAAATTATAAATTATAAAGTTCAAAACAAAAAAAATGTCAAACATTTACTTCTTTTTAAACGGAAAGACCACGAGAAACCTGCATACTTACCATTCTGAGCTTCTTGACACCTTTTAATCCAGACAATGAAATCAGCATCTGCACCTAGAAAGAACAAACTGACTGTAACATCACTCATCTGCACAACCTAACATATTCATTCAACAAATAATCAGTGAATACCTATGTTCCAAACACTATTCTAGGCACTGTGGGTGCAACAGTGAATTAGACAAAAATATCTGTCCTAACAGAGTTTATAGCTATCCTAATATTAAACCTATTAGTTACTTGTTCATCCTGAAGAATTCTGATTTTTAAAAAATCAATTTTATCTGCCTGCCAATGCAGGGGACACGGGTTCGATCCCTGGTCCAGGAAGATCCCTCATGCCATGGAGCAACTAAGCCCATGCACCACAACTACTGAGCCTGTGCTCTAGAGCCCGCAAGCCACAGCTACTGAAGCCTGCTCCATGTCCCCCATGGGGCAAAACCATTCCCAGTTAGGAGCTACTGCTTTAGAGAACTGTGATAACACTCTATCATAAAATGAAGATAAAATGATAGTACACAATTAGGATTGTGTAGTCTGTAACTACCTATGAGATTACTTACAATCTTTTTGAACTCTGCAGAGTTTTTGATACTTGGCTTTTACAATTTCTATATATTATGCACAGATATCTATACTGCTGTGACAATTTTCATCTATTTCTCTCAAAAAGGTGAATTAGAAACTCACAATACTCTCAAACCTCCATGTTTCTTCAATACCCTATCATACTTTACCCCAACTTAACACTTCATGTCTCAATAAAAATTTTCATTGTAAGATTTCATTATCTCAGCAATCTGGATAATAACTTAAATAGACTTCTGAATGTAAGAGCAAATTATACTTTCACTTATCCATTAGAAAAAAAATAAAGCCAGACTAAGTACTTGGGAGCACACTAAGTGTTTATATAGTTTTCTGCTTCTGATGATAGTTTATCTGTGATTTAAGTGCTAAAGAAAGGCCAATTTAATCAATTTTTAACTAAATTCAAATTCTGCAATCAACACGAAATGTCATTAAGAAGAGAAAAAGCTGGGTTTCTATAATTAACTTGAGATTACACTAACAAAATTCAGTTATGGTATTTAAGGCACATAGGTATAATGGATTAGTGTACTAACATATAATTCTAATACTTACTATCTAATTTCTGTCCTTCTGTAAAAGCTTCTAGAGCAGCAGCATAGTTTTTTTCATGGTATTCACATATCCTGCATGAGAATATTAAAAACAAATACACACACATGAGATCATGCAAAACAGCCTTCTTTCTAAATTAAAGAAAAAAAAAACTATTTTCCCTACTATTAAAAGAAAGAATTTAAGTGTATGTTAATAAGCCAGCCAAGAGATTTCCTAAAATACTCTACTATAATATCTAGTATAATTCCCATTAAAATCCAATTTTGGAACTCATTTCAGAAGGCATTTCTTGATTTTAATTGTGTATACTTGCTTATTCCAAAATATAGTTATATTAAGGAATTAAAGCCGTTTCTGATTCTTAAAGAATAAAGTCACACTTATCAACAGAAACAAACTGGGATATAAAGTACACAGATAACAGAGTCTTCATTAAATGTAGCCTGTCCAGCTTGGGTGAGGAATAGATGTTCTCTAGTCAATTAAATACAGTAAATTCCAAATGATGAAGCAAAAAAGGGATGTGAAATCCAAGAGTTTCATCTAGACTTTGCAGTTACTTCAACCATCACTATTTTAAACTATATATATATACTAACTATACTACAATAAAAGTATAAAATATACCTAAAATTGAATCCTATCTCAGCTATAAAATGTATAAATACAGAATTTACTATTTATATAAAGCTTACAATTAATTCATTCAAGAAACTATAGTCCAGACCCAGCAAGAAGAGTAGTTACTGCATACCCCTTTCTCAGCAGAGCAATGGAACTATTGGGATTAAGTTCAAGAGATTTCTTTGCATCAGCAACAGCATCTGCATATGAAAAAAATGGTTTTTATAGTCAGTTACTTATGGATCCTAACAAATACTACACACAAAATTTGAATTAGCCTCTGATTTTTAAGTTTTCAAGCTGGTGGAATGGACAACTGATTTTAAATTAGAAAAAGTTAATCCAAAATAAAATTACCCTCATACCTTCCTAATGACCTAATATTTAGCTTCCTTCTTAAAGCGCTTCAGGCAATGAATAAAGCTCTGCATCACAAAGTTCATCTAATTTTCTCATTAACATCATTTATGTAATCTGACTCAAGGTATTTAATTTCTCTCTACTCAGATTATCTATCCAGATAATTAAAATTACAGAATATAGAAATACATTCTTTTTATAAAAAATAAAACAAGGGAATTCATTTAAATACTTTGTAAAATAGTAAATTTGATGTTATTCTTTGTTAGCATATCCAGTAACCATGAATGAAATCTGCACAAATTCTACACCCACTGAAGAAAGAATGGACAACCATAAAATTTAAATGGGTGATGCTCAACATGTTTGTCACATTTCAGCTACTTTACCTTGTATGAAAGACCAAGTTAAAAATCCTAGAAGATAACCCTTATTTAATTTGATTCATTGTATCTTGGGCAAAATTTGTAAGTAACTTATAGAGTCAATATACTTTGTAAGAAAAGTTACCATGGTAATTCCCAAGAAGAATGTGACAATAAGCTCTTTGACAGTAATACTGTGCATCATCTGGTTTCTGCTCCAGAGCCTTAGTCAGCTCCTACAAATACAAACACGTTGAGTGTCAGTAAGTGTTTTTTAAAAGCCATCGAATTCTAATTAAACATGATTTTTAATCAAATAACCTATTATCATAAAGTATTTGGAGGAAAGATAACAGGGAAACAAGCTTGGAGCTTTTCTTTCCAAGAGGATCAATAGCCCCCTTTCTCCTCCCTTCTCCCCTCAAAAGACCACAGCTGAATGTAATATCTACCTAAAGCACTTAGCAGTTCCTGGCCAACAGCAGAACTCAATAAACGGTAATTATTATCACCTCATTTATTCTGGAGAGTTTAGTTCATATACATTTACCACCAATGATTTTCTCCTTCTAATTTGGAGAAGACTCAAAGATCATGTAGAATTCGAAATGCCTAGAAAATGTGAGGCTGTCCAATAAAAACAAACAAACAAAACAAAAAAAGGAAGTTAAACCTAGAGCTCAGGGAGGTTAATGGAACCAATAAATACATAATCAAGTTTACCTGGCCCTCTCCTATCCTCTTATCAATGGCCTAAGAAATTACAGCATTCTGTCAAAAGTCCAGATACAATATCTCATAGATAGCTACTATCAGTTGATCAAGAATTAACAGAGTGATTAAAACTTTGCCAGTCTGGGCAGTCACAGTTCATAAGTGGTAGCTGGAACAATACTGATGCAAGAAGAGAGAGCACGATTAGTGAAGCCAAGGACAAATGCAGGCAAACAGGAAGACTTTGATTCTCTACCCATTGCCCACACACCCTAGGGACTTGGTAGTTTTCTTAACAGGCAAAATTACTTCAATAGCCACACATGTGGCTTTGCTTGAACCTCGCAGTGTGATTCTCACAAAGCAACGTATACTATACTTGGTAATCGTAAACCTAAAACCCAACATACCTAAGATCTAAACCACTTTTTACTATCTTAACCCTTATCACCCTGATCCAAGCAGTAATGAAAATCAGATCTTGTTACTGTGTCTCTGCTCAAAACTTTCCAACATCTTTCCAGCTGACTCACAGCAAAAGCCCAAGTCCTTCCAATGATCTGCAAGGCCCTCCTTGATATAACCTTCTGCTCTCCCTCTCATCTCACCTCTTAAAACTCTTCTTGCGCCACCATTCTAGCCACAATGGCCTCCTTGCTGTTCTTCGAACATCTCAGGACCCTGCACCTGCTGCTCCCTCTCACTAGAATGCTCTTCCCCCAGATGTGCACAGAAAATCCATTCCCTCACTTCCTAGTCAGTGACTGCGCCAGAGATAGGATTCAAATCCAGGTCTGTCTGACTCCAAATCAAATTTTAACCACTAAACACTGCCTCATGGTAAAATTTTACTCCAAGTTTCTTTCACACACCATCTAACATTTGTATTAATACACGATTTTCTAATACTTTGAAATTCTTAAGCTAAAAATACCATCTTCCACTAAGCTTTCAAACAATTTTGAAAACAGCTGATGGCTTCTTACATATCTACTCAAATATATCATAAAACCACATTTCCAGCCTCTCCTCACCAAGAAAATGTATATTATAGGTCAAAAAGGCTGTTACAGATTATAATAATATCTGGATCATCAATTCAAAAAGTATTTTTATTTTTTTCAGTAGTCAGGTTTTTCTGTTTGTTTTTCAAAAAGTATTTTTAAACACATATTATGGAATAAACATAGGCCAAACACTGGAGGCTCAAAGATGAATAAAATATTCCTTTTCTTTAGGAGTCAGGTATAAACTTCTGAATTTTGAATCAACTTGCAAATGACCTTTAAAAACACAAACCAATTGTTGGTTAAGGAGAACCAGTTATGGTCATTCAGTTAAATAAACTAAGCAACTGACTTATTAGGCTATCAATAAAAAAAGTTACCCAAAAACCACTCAACACAAACTGAACATTGTAACACACCAACTTGTAAGTCATGAATAAAACACAACAATAAATTTATTTTGAACAAGGAATATACCAGAAAAAGTGACGCTGAAGTAATTACTTGTGGTTGTCTTAACTACATCTGACTTGTGGCGTGTTTTCAGTGTTCTACTGTTTCTGTGACAACAGCTGCTGGCTGCTAGAATACAAAGGGACTAAAGAGAGGTATCTCAAAAGGCAAGGACGTCAGTGCCAACATTTGAATCACAGCAGCAAAGGGCTATTTAATCAGACTTATAGAAACATATCCAAAGATATAGTACTTCTCACAGAACATGGGTTGTGTTATAGTTCGCAAAAGTAAAGAAACCCATGAAGTGTTAAATGTAATTACACTGAAATCTTTAACAAGATAATGATAAAGGAAGTACCCTGATAACACAGAACGATAGGGGGAAAATTCCTTTTTAAGGCATTAAAATTGTTTAAGACTTGGATCTTAGAAAATTAGTTTCCAAATCTTTATAGAGCTTTAGGCTCTCTTAAAATGCTATTCAAAAAGGTTACTTGTTGTTAAGATTAAAAGCAAAAGCAGACTGCTCAGACTGACCTAACATTTAAAGGCCTTCAGCTCTGGATATCTCAGCCTGACTCCACTTGCCATTTTCTTCTAGCCACGGCTAAACCCCAATCACGGATAAACAAGAGTATCAAGCCTTCTCCCTTCGTAAACTAGCAAAAGCACCCCTGGAGAAAAATCACGTAACCATGTGGAACTGGTACGCTTCATGCTAACAAGTTATGCCCTCAGCAAAGCCATCTGTGGTCAACTACTTCAAAGTCAGCTCCCGAGCAATTACATCATACACCCCAAGCCTACCCACTCCTCCAGAGGACGGCCCTGATGCCCTGAACCTGAGACTTGTCACTTCTAAACTCGATAACCTTGAGCAAGTTTAATCTCTTTAGCCTCAGCGTCCTTGTAAATGCACCTCACGGTTGTTCCAAGAATTGTGGTAGGAGTCATTTAACACACCTGAGTGCCTACTACATCCCAGGCACTACGCTGAGAACACAGTGGTAAACAGATACACAAACCCCTGCACTCTTGAAGCTTACACTGGGGCCCAATTCAGATAAGGTAGTCAGAGAAAACAGCTTCCTTGAGAAGGTGACATTTCAGAGAAATCTAGAGTGATGAGCATTTCCAAGCAAAACAAGAGATAGTCAATAGAGAGTACGTTCTAGGCAAAAGAACTGCCAAGTCCAAAGGCCCTGCACCAGGACTGAGCTCGACACATTTGAGTAGCAGAAAGCAAGCCAGCGTGGCTAGAACCTAGAGAAGAATCTATAAGATGTCTACCTCAAGGGCCTCACCCTTGTACCTTACATTACTTATCCTCATAATCACCCTTTCAAGTGGTCCTAGTTAATCCCATTTTACAGACAGGAAATCTGATCCAGAAAAGTGATAGCAGGAACTTCCTTGAAACCAGGATATGGACCCAAGCAGTCTGATTCCAGAGCCCATGCTCTTAAGCACTACTCACACTGGGCCTCGAAAGATTCTCATAATCCACATATATGTTTTCTCCCTCTACTGAATTGAGACTTCCTCTGCAAAGTTTTTTTTACTTCCCCAGTTAGCCTCTACTCTGCTATGCTCTTTACTGTACCTGATACACCACTCCACTGGAGTACTTATATTTTAATGATCTGTTGACTTGCCTGTCTCTCTCCACTAGACTACAAACTCCCTCACTACAGTAGTTTCATCTTTAGCTCGCTGGCTCCCAGTACAGCATTTGCCACTAACGTTGTTTGTTTAATGAATGAAAAATATAATCAGCTTGATATGCTTTCTCTTTATTCTTAATTGATGGTCTTATATAAAAATGTGACATTTTAACTGATGTAATATCAAGCGACCTTAATTTTAAAATAGCTACTGTTAAACCAACCCTTGGGAAAATCTAGAGGGAAACAGACTCTCACTTCTCATCAAGGTTCCGGCCCTACTCATTATTACCAATTACTTAGTAATTAACATTTGCCTGTTTATTTCTGTGAGAAGGTCATCTTAAGTTTTAAAAAGAACATTTCCTCTTAACACAAGTTGGTTCTTATCATGATCATTCTCCCCACTCCCAGTTTTTGATTCAGGTCTGTGGCAGGTCCTGAGAATCTGCATTTCTAACAAATTCCCAGGTGATGCTTCTGCAGAAGGTCTGGGGAGCATGCTTTTGAAAACCGCTATTCTACAGCACTAGACTAAGAATCAGGAAACATGTGTCCTGAGGCCCCTATTCTGCCTCTAACTGGCCGCATACATCTCCATGACAGATCACTTGGACTTCTTTGGGTCTGTTTTCTTCTGTAAAATGGAAGGGTAAGGAGTACTGGCCTACCGGAGTCATAAGTACTTTCAGAAAATCTGGGGTGGAGAATTCCCTGGCAGTCCGTGCTTCCACTGCAGGGGGCACGGGTCTGATCCCTGTTTGGGGAACTAAGATCCCACATGCCTGCAGCACAGCCAAAAAAAAAAAAAAAAAATCTGGGGTCCAAGAATTTGCATTTCTCTGAGTTCCTAAGTGATGCTGATGCTACTGGTCCAAGAGCCACACTTCACGGACAAATGTACTAAAGCTAATCACACACCTACACTATCCAATTTCACTCCCAGAAAGAAAAAAACAAATGCACTCCCAAAAGAAAGGACTGCATGTGTTCACCAAAATACATGTACAAGAAAATTCACAGTGGTTTTATTCGAACTAGCTAACAACTGGAAATACCCCAACTGTTCACTGTTAGAATAAATTGTGCTATATTAATACAGTGTAATACTACACAGCAGTGAAAAGCAAACAACTTATGGATGTATCTCCCATAATGTTTAAAGCAAGACAGAGTATCTACACTCAACTGAATACCTAGTGTATGATACTTTTTATATGAAGTCCAAGAAAAACTAACTGATGGTGACAGAGTACAGAACAGGTGGGTAAGAGGAATTATTGGCTGGGGAAAAACATGAGAAAGCCTTGAGAATGGAAGTACTCTATATCTTCATCTGGGTGGTATACATACATGTAAAACTTCAAGTTCATTAGTACAGACTTAAGATTTGTGTTAGATATCCCACTTCAATAAATAATTTTAAAAGTAACTGAGATGTAACGTGACAAAGAATTCATTACATTAATATCCTTTAATAGCAACTATTATATAAACTAGATTTCCAAAGGAGGCATGGGGCCTAAGAGGACCATAACAAAGGTAGATTCTGAAAATTAACAGCTATCTAGCTGACATAAGGAATTATGGAGGAAAACTCTCAGTGCCTCTGATAACATTACTCTAATAGTGATCCCAAAAGCATCACTAAGAAACATCACAGCACTACCGAGTAATCAACCACTTTATTTGAAGGTGTTCGTATCCCAGGTCCAAAAGCATAATCCAACCTAAAAGGCCCCAAAGGACCCACGCCCTGGTTTCCTCCCCACCTCATTTCTTACTCCACTTTCATCCCACTCTAACCAAATGGGCCTTCTTGCTGCTCCTTGCACAGCTGACTTCATTCCTACCTCAGCATCCTGACACTGACTCCTCTTCCTGCCTGAAATAATCTTTCCCCAGAGCTTCTAAGCTCACTCGCTCATGCCTCTTCTTAAATGACACCTCCTCTACTAACCATGGAACAAACTTCTCAAGTCATAGCTAGGAAAAAGGTTCTCTTGCCTCAAATTCCTAACCTTACATATGTTAAACCATAAGAGCAAAACAAAGTTTCCTCTTTTTTATGCTTCAAAGCAAGAAACCCCTGGCTAAATTTTGTGACCCACTACATCATGTATTCTTAGTTTGGGCTCTCTTTATTACTTCAAATTATTATTTAACTCTTGCTCTTTTGCTTTCCTTCACAGCTTTATAGTTTTTCACTTAACACAAACACGAAGTGCGTTCCAAGTCAGTTAAATACATAAATAAGACTTTAATCCAGAGCAGACAGTGCCTTCCACACAGCTGCCCCCAACAAATTGTTTTGAGGAATAAACAAATGAGTGGATGAACAGTGACTGGACATCTGGAGATTTTCGGGCACACACGGGAAAAGGTTTCTGTTCCAACAGTGTGAGTTCATACACGCACTCAGCACAAACCTGGTACACAGAAATGGCAAGGATGATTGTCAAACGAAAAACCGAATGAATAAACAAGCCTTGGATTTCACTTTTTGCTCTCAGTCACAAATGCCATTTAAAAAACAAACAAACCCTTTCAGACCAACCATGAATGTTACCTCTACCCCCAAAATGGAGAGCAGGTTTTATTAAGCAGCTCCAAGGATGCAGGAACGGACTAGGGATGGGAAGCGTAACCGGGCCGCTGCGGGACACAGAAGGGAGAGGCGGAGTCTGTCAACATCGGGGCTGAGACACAGGAAAAGCAGCAGCCCCGACCCCAGGAAGACAGTGCTGGGAAGAGGCGGGGTAGGCCGGAACCCGACACGGCTGCGTTCCCCAGAGCACAGTGAACCGGCTCTCTCACCTCCAACGCCGCCTGGGGGTCCTCGTCGATCAGAGCATCTGAGAAGCTCCGGAAAAACCTGCCAGGAAAACAACGACTTCAGCAGGGCTCTCTAACTAAAGAAAGACGAAGGGGGTACAAATAATAGCAAAGAGAAGGAAAAACACGCACCTCTGGGCTGCTGCAGATGCCGCAGCAGCCGCCGCCATCTCTAATAGTTACTGTTACCGCTGCTGGAGCTGCTCCTAACGAGGTTACCAGCTCTGCCGCCGCCGAAGGGGGAAACTTCTGGAGAAACACCAACCGAGCTTCCGTCCTACATAGCCAATGAGCAGCCACGCAGCGTGCCGCGAGGGGAGGGGAGGTGAAGCGCAGGCGCGGGTTGGGCTGGGACCTCGGAGGACCGACTCTCCTGGCCCGCCCCGCCCCCACCCCCGGCCGGCGAGCAGCCTGTCAGGCCCCGCCCCCTGCAGCCATGGTTACGCAGGCCGAGGCGTAAACCAGTCCCGGCGCGCACCCACACAGCCACAGAGCCTCAGTGGGTGGTAGGTCGAAAGAACGTTTGTGTCGTGCTGTTATCGCTCAGGAACGTGTGGCGTTTGGGGTCGTTTGTATGTCTGTTAATAATAATAACACAAGGCACATCGAGCTCCCTTTTTTCTGCAGCTCTCATCATGGCTCCCGGAGGCAGCCAGGCTTTTCGTGACCCGTGACGTTCTCGGCTACGTGTTGTTTTCCGGGAGCGAGTTCCGGATGGCGCGTCGATGCCGGGATCTTGGCGCTGGGAACCCTAAAGGACTCGGACGCGCCGGAAGTCGCTCCGCCCTTGCAGAGGCTGGACGGGAGGAAACCTTTTGGTTCCGGTGCGGATGGACTGTTCCTTTCCCCAGAATGACACAAGCCCAGGCTTTCTTCCTACTTGACTTCCCAGACAGAAGAAAAACGTGTTCCATCCGAAGGCACTGAAGGGAGAAAGGTGGCCTGAATTTGTCTCAGTGCTGCTTTACTTTCCACCTCTTTGGTCAGGCCCTGCGTCACCGCCCTTTGACCCGTGCAATTCAGATAGAAGAAACTTCCAGCAAGTTCCACGGGACGGGAATGGGGGCGGGGGGGGCGGAGCAGGAAGGAGTGGGAGTGAGCGGCTCTCAGTGAGGTAAACAAGTAACTGAACTCGAGTGTCTGCCACATCCAGAATCTAAACTAAGTCCTGGGATTCAGTGATGTTAACGCCTTCCAGAAACTTAAGCCAGTTTTGTTCAAAGTGCTAAAACCAAAGAAGGGCAATAGTCAGTGATGTGATAGCAACAAGGGACACAGCCGAATATAAGGTATACGGATGGAATCCTCAAATCTCTTGTACCGGAACCTCAGTCTGGAAATATGAATTCGAATTAGTGAAGGAAATGGAAAAGGCAACTCAGGCAGAATAGGCCGAATGTTAGAAAGTGATAATGTGAACTCTGAAATTGGTAGAGCCAAAATTCAAGCTAGAAGCAGACTGACTGGGTGGAGAGGCAGGTAAATGCCAGATCATAAAGGGCTAGTTGTAATCTGCTGAGAAGTTTGGATGTAATTCTCCTAAAGATGTTAACCCGTTATAGGATTTTTACTCAAAAAAGGCAGTAACAGTTAAATTTACATTTTTATGTTTGTTATTCTGTCTGTACTATGGAAGAATGACTAAAGGGAAAAGAACAGTTGTTGGGAGACAACTGCTGTATTACAGGCCAAGTGACTCTTAAATAGGGCAGTGATTGTAGGGGATCGTAAGAATTACAGAAATAATTGAGGTAAAACTGTCTGGGTTTGCTGATCTCTCCTTTTGTGATCAATGCTTTTTGTATCATATGTAAGGCCTTGTCTGCTCCAAAGCCATGAGCATAGTCACCTCTGTTTTATTCTAGTTGCTTGACTATTTTACCTTTCACAGACAGGTTTATTCATTTTTATGAAAGGTAGGAGGTTGGGATCAAGTTTCCTTTTCCCCCGTTATGGATAGCCGATTGACCTAGCCCTACTTGCTGAAAAAGCTGTCATTTGCCATTTCCCCCACTAAAGAATTATGGCACCTTTGTTGTAAAGTAGATGACCACATATATGAGCGTCTGTTTCCAGGTTCTCATTACGTTGGTCTGTCTAACCTTGTCCCACACTATCTTAATGTAGCTTTATAAGTCTTGAAGCCCTATAACTTTTTCTTAAAGATTGCTTTGTCTAGTCAAAGGCCTTTGTATTTACATTTTATACATTTTATAAACTTATTTCCATTTATTTTATAAATTTTAGAAAGAACCTGTTAATTTCAAAAAAAAAAAAAAAAAAAGAACCCCCCAAGACAAAAAATCCAGCTAGGATTTTAACTGGGCTTGCATTGAATCTATAGATCAATCTATTTGGGGAAAACTGATCCTAATTTTTTTTTAATTGAAGTATAGTTAATTTACAACGTTGTGATACTTTTTGGTGTACACAGACTGATTCAGATGCAGATAGATAGATGGATATTCTTTTTCATTTCCATTGTAGTTTATTACAAGATATTGAATATAGTTCCCTATCCTATGCAGTAGTTTATCTGTTTTATATACAGTAGCTTGTATCTGCTAACCCCAACTCCTAGTTTTTCTCTCCCCGCATCTTCTCCCTTTGGTAACCATAAGTTTGTTTTGTCTGTGAGTCAGTTTCTGTTTTGTAAATAAGTTCATTTGTATCATATTTTAAATTCCATATATTAAGTGATATCATGATATTTGCTTTTGTCTGACTTACCTCAGTATGATAATCTCTGTACCCATTATGTTGCTGCAAATGGCATTATTTCATTCTTTTTTATGGCTGAGTAGTATTCCATTGTATATCTGTATACCACATCTTTATCCATTCATCCGTCAATGGACATTTAGGTTGCCTCCATTTCTTTTTTTTCTGACATCTTTATGTTGATTCCTCCAATCTATGAATATAATACACCCCTCCATTTATTTAAGTGGTCTTTAATTTTTCTCAGCAGTGTTTTGTAGGTTACAGTGTAGAAGTCTTACATATCTTTCATTAAATTTATTCTTGGGTATTTGAGGGTTTTTATGCTTTTTAAATGGCACTCTGAATTTTTAATATTTGTTGCTAGTGTATAGAAACGCTGCTGGTTTTTACATATTGACCTTATATTCAACCATCTTGCTAAGTTCCCTTACTATTTCTAATACTTTGTAGACTCTTTTAGAATTTCAGTCATCACAGTGTCTTGTGATCTGTGATGGTTTGACATCTTCCTGTGCAATCATTATACCTTTTATTTTTCTTACTGGTTGTCACTGGCTAGGATGTCTACTATAGTGTTGAGTAAAAGTAGTGATGATGGACTTCCTATCTTGATTGTAACATTAGGGAGAAGGCATTCAATATGAAATGCTTTTTCTGCATTTATTGAAATGTCCATGTGTATTTTTTCTTTAATAAGTTAATGTTAATTACTTTGGTTGATTTTCAGATGTTCTCTAAATGGCCAATATGCATACGAAAAGAAGTTCTACATCAATAGCTATATCAGAGACAGTAAAATCATAATTTGGTACTAAACACTCCCACCAAAATGGCTAAAATTAAAAGGAATTCCAGTGCCAAGCATTGACAAGGATATGGAACACCTGTAACTTTCACGTATTGCTAGGGAGAGTATAAATTGGTATAGCTACTTTAGAAAACTTTGACACTATCTACTAAAGCTAGTCATACATGAACCCTATTGCCCAGTAATTCTACCATTAGGCATATGCCCAAGAGAAAAGAATACTTACGTTTGTGTACAAGAATATCGATTGCAGCATTAGTCACAGTAGCAAAAACTGGAAATAACCTAAATGTCCTTTCACAGAAGAAAAATACTAGAGATCAAAGACTAAGAATGAACTACCAGTACACACAACAATATGGATGAACCTCACATACATAATGTTGAGCTAAAGAAGCCAGACAAAGTACATCCTGGTTGATTCCATTTATATGAAAATAAAAAACACTGTGAGGGACATCAGAGAGTGATCTCCTGGCTGGGAAGGGCCATGAGGAAGACTTCCTGATGTGGGAAATGCTATATATCTTGACTAGGGTGACAATTACAGTAATGTAGTCACATGTCAAATTTTTTCAATTTATACACTTAAGATTTATGCACTTTATGCTTCAGTGGGGGAAAGATTAAAACAAAGTCAGCAATGAAAAATCAGAATCTGAAATTTTTAAAATATTTACAATAGCATTAAATATTAAATACTGAAAATTAAATCTGACGAAAGATGTGCAAAACATATACATTGAGAATTACAAAATATTGCTGAGAGAAATTAAATAAAGACACTTAAACAAATGGAGAGATATTCTATGCTCATGATTCAGACTTAAGATGTCAGTTCTTCCCAAACTGATCTATTGATTCAACCCAATCCCAATCAAAATCCCAAAGACTTTTTCCATTTTATAAGTTGACAAACTGATTCTGAAATTTAAATAGAAATGCAAAAGACTCAGAATAGCCAAATCAACTTTGAAAAATAACAGAGTTGGAGAACTAACACTACCTGATTTCAACACATCAATCTTGTGTATTGGTACAAAGATAGACAAATCAATAGCACAGAAAAGAGTCCAGAGATTCATATGTGTATGAACAACTGATTTTAAGCAAAGGTCCAAATTCAGGGCAGAAGGGACAGCTGAAAAAGATAGTCTTTTCAGACTTTTCAATTGAAAAGGATAGTCTTTTCAACAAATTGGATATACAAAAGCAAAAAAGTGAACTTCAATATATACCTTGCACCATCTACAAAATCTAACTCAAAATGGATCATGGACCTAAATGTTAAAACTATAAAACTTCTAGAAAAAAATATCGTTGTGTCCTTGGGTTAGACGAAGATTTCTTAGATATGACACCAAAAGCATGATCCATAAAAGAAGTTGATAAATTAAACTTTATGAAAATTTAGAAGTTTCTGCACTTTGAAGTTATTTGTGAATCATATATCTGATGAAGAGCTAGTATTCAGAATATATAGAGTTCTCAAAACTCAGTGATAAGAAAACAAGGGAATTTTTAAATGGGCAAAAAAACCTGAACAATCACTTCATCAAAGAAGATACATGGATGTCAAGTAAGCTCATGAAAATTGCTCAAAATCATTAGTTGTTAGGGAAATTAAAACCACAATGCGATACTACTACACAGCCATTAAAATGGCAAAAATATTGAATATAAAAGACCATGTTGAAGAGGATGTAGAGCAACTGAAAGCCTCATACACTGCTGGTGGGAATGTAAGATGGTACAACCATCGTATGACCTAGCCAGACCACTCCTAGGTATTTGTTCAACAGATATGAAAATACATGTCCAATATAAAGATTTGTACAGGAATGTTCCTAACAGCTTT